TGAGTCTGTTTCTGTTTTGTTATATCATTCACGTGTTTTATTTTTTAGATTCCATGTATAAGTGATAACATACAGTATATTTCTTTCTCTGTCTGACTTATTTCACTGAGCATAATACTCTCCAGGTCCATCCATGTTGCTGCAAATGGCAAAACTTGAGTCTTTTCTATGGCTGAGTAGTATTCCATTGTATATATACATCACTTCTTCTTTATCCGTTCATCTGTTGATGGACACTTAGGTTGCTTCCGTGTCTTGGCCATTGTAAATCGTGCTGCTATGAGCATTGGGGTGCAGGTATCTTTTTGAATTAATGTTTTCATTTTCTTCAGATATATACTCAGGACTGGGATTACTGGGTCATAGGGTAACCCTATTTTTATTTTTTGAGGGTCCTCCATACTGTTTTCCATAGTGGCTGCACCAGTTTATCTCCCCACCAGCAGTGCTGGAGGGTTCCCTTCTCTCCACACCCTCTGCAACACTTGTTTGTTGTGGTCTCTTCCTACTCTTCTTTATCACACTTTCATGGGTAAGCCTTTGCCCTTTTTTTTTTTTTAAACATCTTTATTGGGGTATAATTGCTTTACAATGGTGTGTTAGTTTCTGCTTTATAACAAAGTGAATCAGCTATACATATACATATCTCCTTCCTTTTGCATCTCCCTCCCACTAGGCCTTTGCCTTTGTTCCCTCTTCCTGGAATATTCTGCTCCCAGATATTCCCAGGGCTCTCTTGCCACTGAGGTATGAGTAGAGCTGTCATCTCATGGAGGCCTTTTCTAAACACTCTAGGTCAATAACTCCCCATCTATTCTTTTTCACATCAACCAGCTCTATTTTCTCTCTTGCATTTATCACAAACATGACCTTGTTTATTTACCTGTTTGCTTGTTCATTATCTCCCCCTTCAGATGTAAGCACCAAGGACAGTACAATGCCTGGCACACGTCAGGTGCTATATAAATATTTGTTGTGTTAACTGACACGGGTTTTTTGGCCATTACTGGGGCATATTCAGGAAATTTTATAATATAGCAAATTAAACTTATTAATAGTTTCAAATGTAATGAAATACTTTTGAGACTACATGTAACAGCAAAGTTGATATGTTGCTCTCTGTAGATATTTATTGATTTCAACTTTTCAGTTTTCTTTTGGTATTTTGCAATGAAAAAATAGTCTGCAACATTTTTATAGTTTTGCAAAACCTATAAGCCCTAGGCTTTCTGTCTATGATGTCTAATGGAAAAATGGACCTATTGGGGGGAATTATGTAATTTCTCTCTCTTTTTGTCTGTGAATCCAATAAATGGAATTTATTTCGTTTTTAAGGGGAAAGTTGTGTGAGATTCTTTATTTGGTTGACTATGTGGTGAGGTATAGAGAGCTTACATAAGCTGCATAGTGAGTTAGCCACGCCAGACTTTTCTAACAGATGCCAATGGGAGAGTGGCGCCCTCTAGCGCACATTTGGAGAACTGATGCTGAGTGAATTGGACTTTTGTTCTCTAAGGCCAGCCTGGCCACGTTTTTATTATAATGCACAAGTCAGGGACCATGTAGGCGGTCAGTAAATACTTTCTGAATGAATAAATGGAACCATGAGGCTTTGCAGAGTGCCCTATGGAAGTGAGTAAAAAACTAAAATAAAATCAGAGTTGTAAAGTTAACTGTCCCCTTAGAGATGAAGTGAAGGTTGATGACTAATACAGGGGAGAAAATTGGAGGTAATGAAATTCGACACGTTTCTTTTCTGAGTTTCCAGAAGGGAGAAGGAGAAAACATAGAGTAACTTTCCAAACAGAATGAGCCAAAAAGCCGGCAATGAAAGTTTGCTCATGAAAGTGTTAGAGGGACTTTTAAAAAGGGAGTAGACCCCAAAGGAGTTGATACGCCAACTCCATCGCCTGGCTGGGTCGACCACAGTATGCGAGAGAAGGAAGCACGTAATAAGAGCGGGAAAAACAACCTCTAGCTGAAAAGTTGTGGGCTGTTTTCATCTGTAAGCAAATCTTTAAAATGTAGATGTTACACTTACATGCAGAATCTAAAATATGATACAAATGAACCTATCTATGAAACAGAAACAGAATCACAGACATAGAGAACAGACTGGTGGTTGCCAAGGGGCAGGGGCTTGGGGGAGGGATGGAGTGGGAGGTCGGGGTTAGCAGATGTAAGCTTTTATATATAGAATGGATAAACAACAAGGTCCTACTGTAGAGCACAGGGAACTAAATTTAATATCCTGTGATAAATCATAATGGAAAAGAGTATATAAAAAAAGAATGTGTATATGTATAACCGAATCACATTGCTGTACAGTAGAAATTAACACAACATTGTAAATCAACTATACTTCAATAAAAAATATTGATAAAATGTAGATGTTATTGAGGAAATTTGAACACTTATTGGATACTCGATAATACAGAATTGTTAATTTTTTCTCAGTTACAATTAGGTTATTGTGCTTACGTAATAAAAGGATCTTTAGCTTTCAGAGATACATAGGGAATGAAATGATCTCTGGGATTTGTTTCAGAATCGTCTGGGGCATGGGTGTGAGAAGGTGCAGTTAGAGATGAAACAGTGTTGACTGTGTGTTGATGATTTGAGGCTGGGCGAGAGGGGACCGGGACTCATTAGAGCCTTCTGTCTACCATTGTCGTGTGTTGGAAAACTTCCTTAATAACCAGTTGAGGTATGTTTTTGCCTAATCCTTCTGGCTTTTTGAAAGTTCCCTTCTTAATACTCCCGAAAAAACGGGAGTGTTGTGGATGTTTTGGAGCAGAGGAGGTGTTTGAGGCTGACTGGGAGTGTTGGTTTTGAGCCCTTTCCTTTTGTCCAAGAGATCAGGATGGCTAAGAAGGGGGAGGGGCTAAGAAGATGCCCTGCTTAATTTACATAGGGGGTAATGTCATTCTACTAGTCCTTTCAAGATGGGGAAAGATGATCTCATTAGATAACTGAGCCGAATCATTTTGTGGTCGGATTGACTTACGGATAGATTAACTGGAAAATCTGCAAAGTTTTCCAAATGCTACTGAGAAAATAAAATTGCAGCAAAGCCCTCTTTGCTGTGCATCGGAAACACAGCAAACATCGGATGAACCGACGTTTGACCTCTAGAATGTTAATTCTACGTTGGAATGCTTTGAGGGTCTTTGTCGTTGTTTTTCTTTTCTTTTTTTTTTTTTTGCGGTACGCGGGCCTCTCACTGTTGTGGCCTCTCCCGCTGCGGAGCACAGGCTCCGGACGCGCAGGCTCAGCGGCCATGGCTCACGGGCCCAGCCGCTCCGCGGCACGTGGGATCTTCCCGGACCAGGGCACGAACCCGTGTCCCCTGCATCGGCAGGCGGACTCTCAACCACTGCGCCACCAGGGAAGCCCTTTTTTGTTGTTTTTGAACTAAATGTTTTTAAAAGGAAAAATGGCATAAATAATTTTTGAGAGAATCCCAGTTCTTTAGAGTGACTATGTTCCTGCTCTGATCCCGCGGGGGAGGGCAGCGCGGTGCCTCTGGAACAGTAAGAGAGCAGGTGGGGGACACTGAGCCCCTGTCGGTACTTCAGAGGTTGATGCCCAGCTGTAACAATACTGTGAGTGAATTTTTGGAAGTAATTTCCGTATTTGCCCTAATTTAGAAAAATTCTGAGGAACACTAGAAATGACTAGGGATCACATCAAGAAATGCAGCGTTAATGTCAACTTCCAATAGAGACAGGTTCTGGGCTCCACGTTCTGGGTCTTCTTTCTGGACAAGGTGGGGCGGGAGGTGGTGCCATGGGACTGGTAGAAGCAGGTATTTGGATTGAAGAGGCTTCCGCTGACTTTTCAGTGGCCACTAGACAGAAATGGCTGTGGTAGGAAGAGCATGGGTCTTGGTGTTAAAACTGGGTTAGAATCCCAGCTCTGCCACTTCTAGCTGTGATCTTGGGGAAACTGGCTCCTAACAGGAATTGTCTGGTTTTCTGCACTCCAAAGGTTGCCTGAAGTAAGGCACGAATGCCTGTTGGCGAGCGTCCCCCTCTTTCTTTTTTTGTTGTTTATTGCTAACTTAAAAAAAATTGAAATACAGTTGATTTACAATGCCATGTTAGTTTCAGGTGTACAGCACAGTGATTCACACACGCACACACATATATATATACACATATATCTATTCTTTTTCAGATTCTTTTCCCTTATAGGTTATTACAAAATATTAAGTATCGTTCCCCGTGCTAGACAGTGGGTCCTCATTGGGTATCTATTTAATATATAGTAGTGTGTATATGTTAATCCCATCCTCCTAAAATATCCCTCCCCACCTTTCCCCTTTGGTAACCATACGTTGGTTTACTATGTCTGTGGGTCTATTTCTATTTTGTAAATAAGTTCATTTGCATCCTTTTAGATTCCACATGTAACTGCTATCATATGGTAGTTGTCTTTCTCTGCCTGGCTCACTTCACTCAGTATGATGCGTCCCCCTCTTTCCAAAGCACTTCCTTCGATGTCGGTTTCCAGGCTGCACCCCTCAATCCTCCGTCCCAGCTGAGCACAGGCACCACCCCCTCCTGGCCACCTGCTTCCCACCCAGCAGGTGGAGGAGTTGCATGATGGGGAAAGTCAGGGGGACCCTCGGGCCCAGAGGGGCATGGCTGGCCCCAGGGTTCTGAACCTGGGTAGGGGTATGGAAATGGAATTGTGAGTGGGTTGAGATTTCCAGGACTTCTAAAAGGGCCCCAATAAACCCTCCCGAACTTTCACTCGAGGCTGGAAGAATAAAATGAGGAATTTCTGTTTCTCTAATTTGAGGGATTTTAGAAATGGAAGTTGGGGCTCCAGACGTTTCTTCGCTTCCACAGTGAATAGAATGGAGGCAAATTTTCCTTGGGTTGGACTTAGTGCCTGAAACCCTTCTATTGGTGCCAGCTTCCAGCTGTTAGCCCCCCACATTGGGTGGGATGCTGACTCTGAAATGCCCCCCACACCTCATCTTCCCCTTCCAGATACTGCAGTCCCACATGGTGAGGCCCGGATCCCTCCTTTCTGGCTGGAATCGTCCTGGGGCCAGATGAGATCCGAGGAAGGCTGTGAGCTGTGGTAGGCACTGTGCCATCCAGAAACAGGGGAGCTGAGGAGGCCCAATTGGGCTGGAAAGACCCCAGTCTGTTTGGGTCTGAGGCCTCACCTGTAACAGGTATATCTTGGTTGAAGGCAATGTACAAGATGTTTGAGGGAAGTGCTGTAAGTTCATTGCACAAAAATAAAACCACGTACAGTGCTGGTGTGGAGGAGACCGAGAGAGGATGCAAAGAATGTAGGCCTGGAGATGGAGAGAGGATGCAGGAGGGTGGGTGTGGAGATGGAGAGAGGATGCAGGAGGGTGGGTGTGGAGATGGAGAGAGGATGCAGGAGGTGGGTGTGGAGAGAGCCTAGTGCTGGGCTCCCAGGGGAAACGCCTGAAACAACCCAAAGGAGGGTCCACTCAAGCTAGACTCTTGCAACAGGCCAAGCCCAGTGGGTTTCTGGGCTCTGGGCAGTTGGAGGAGAGAAGGGCAAAGTCAGACCAAGTGTGCCTGGAAGGCGGCTCCAGGCAGGGTGGGATTGGAGGTTGCGGGGAAGATGCTGGGGCCCAAAGCCAGGATCCCCTTGGTGGGAGACGGCAGAGAGGCGCTGAGCCTGAGGGGTGCTTTGGATCCACAGGTCCTCCAACTGCAAGGAGGGGTGATGCCCTCAAGTTGGCGACCAAGGGGTTACTTCTGGAGAAAGCCCAGAGCTGCAGGAAGTGGCCAGACACCTGCTCCACTGTTGCCAGCTGGGACCCCGCAGGATTTTCTGTACCTCCCCAGGCAAGCTCTCCCTTTCTAAAAGCAAGATAATAAAACCTGCTTCCTGTTTTCACTGATGTAGATTGTGATTACTTGGTGGGTTATTTTTAGGAGAGTTGCCAACATCTTCCGATGAACAGCTAATTCCAGGTGCTCTGTGGGGCCCTGGAGAAGCTGCAGGAAGATTGGATGCCTGATGCCCGGCTTCTCTTATAATTCATTAGGCTTCTGGAACGCATGTAGTGAAAGACAGAAAACATTGTGACGAGAAGTCAGGGGACCTGGGTGTCACACCTTGTGGTGAACTTTATTTTTTATTAAATAGAAGGGTGACTTTTTAATTTTTTCTAGCTTTATTGAGATATTCTTGACATATTATATATGTAAGTTTAAGGTGTATGATGAGATGATTTCATAACCGTATATATTGCAAAATGTTTACTACAATGAGGTTAGTTAACACCTCTGCCCCTCACCTTTTTGTGTGTGTAGTGATAATGTTTATCATCTAATCTCTTAACGACTCTCAAGTATATAATGAGGTTAACCTCATTCTCTGCTTCTCAGAAGGTGCTGACTCAGTCCTGGGCACCAAAGAGGGAGGCTTGTGGGGACCCCAAGGCCACCGGCTGCAAGCTAGGCTTTTGGAGGGCTTCCCTGGTGGCGCAGTGGTTAAGAATCCGCCTGCCAATGCAGGGGACATGGGTTTGAGCCCTGGTCCGGGAAGATCCCACATACCGTGGAGCAACTAAACCCATGCGCCACAACTACTGAAGCCCGCGCCTAGAGCCCGTGCTCCGCAATAGGACAAGCCACTGCAACGAGAAGCCTGTGCACCACAACGAAGAGCTACCCCTGATCTCCACAACTAGAGAAAGCCCGCTCGCAACAACGAAGACCCAATGCAGCCAAAAATAAATAAATAAAATAAATTTAAAAAAAAAAGTTCTTAGGAGTGTTGAATTGTTCTTCATTATCTATCCATACTTATCTAAAATGCTCTGGAGGACTTCCCTGGCAGTCCAGTTGTTAAGAATCCACCTGCCAATGCAGGGGACGCGGGTTTGATCCCTGTTCAGGGAACTAAGATCCCACATGCCACGGAGCAACTAAGCCTGTGTGCTCTAGAGCCCATGTCACAACTAGAGAGCCCGCCCTCCGCAACTGTTGAGTGCACATGCTCTAGAGCCTGCATGCCGCAACTAGAGAGACGACCATGTGTTGCGATGAAACATCCCGTGTGGCACAAAGAAGATCCTGTGTGCTGCAACTACTGAACCCCACTCGCTCTCCAGCCTGCATGCTGCAACTAGAGAGAAGCTCATGTGCTGCAATGAAAGATCCCACGTGCCTCAAAGAAGATCCCGTGTGCCACAACTAAGACCCGACGCAGCCAAATAAATAAATATTAAAAAAATAAATAAAATGCTCTGGAAGTGGGCCATGGCTGGGCTGTGATCTGTCTGAGCCCGGGCGCTGGCCCTCAGCCAATGAAGCAGGAGCACCTGGGTTTAAGATGCAAGAAGTAATCGGCCTCTGAGGTCTCTTCTGGCTCCTGGCTTTTTACCTGTTTCTTTTTTTGTTTTTAATTAATTAATTTATTTTTGGCTGCGTTGGGTCTTTGTTGCTGCGCACGGGCGGTGAGCAGTCATTGAGGTGCGTGGGCTTCTCATTGCGGTGGCTTCTCTTGTGGAGCACGGGCTCTAGAGTGCAGGCTCAGTAGTTGTGGCACGCGGGCTCAGTAGTTGTGGCTTGCGGGCTCTAGAGCACAGGCTCAGTAGTTGTGGTGCACGGGCTCAGTTGCTCCGCGGCATGTGGGATCTTCCCGGACCAGGGCTCGAACCCGTGTCCCCTGCATGGGCAGGCGGATTCTTAACCACTGCCCCACCAGGGAAGTCCCTGGCTTCTCGCTTGTGTTTCGGCCCCACTTGTTCCTGGTGCACCCATGTCGCCTTCCTCTGCTCATTAAAAATCCTGCTCTTGCCTCCCCACCAGCCAGCAGCCTGGGTGGCAGGGACAGACGTCCTTCTGATAATACCAAGGTGGTAGAAAAGTCCTGCCAGATGTGATGATAGCACCTGCGCATGGAGCAGCGGCCCTTGGCATTCACCATCTGGCCTCCCTCCCAGCGAGGGGACTACAGCCCCGAGAGACGCCTCTTCCCAAGGCGATGCTGAGTCTAGACACCTGCATCAGCATCACGTGACAGAAAGGGGAGAGAAGTTAGATGGCAGCTGGAGGGGGAAGCGGGGTGAGAGAATATTCTTTTTTAAAGATAGGAGAGGAGAAGGTAGGAGAGTTATGGGGCTGGAGGGTGGGGGAGGTGAATGGACTACAACACAGAGGGATGATGCCCCGTTAGAGCCCGTTGAGGGTGGTGATCCTAGTGTAAAGTCACTTCCGCCAGTAGGTTTGTGTGTCTCCCCTCGGCGCCCTCAGCGGTGCAGGCGCAGGCGTGGTGTTGATGAATCGGCCCCACGTTTCGCCCAGCTCATTCATGTCCTCCTCCGCCTGACAGCCTTAGACTGCCCTCTTCCGGACTCTTGACCTCCCTTTCCTTGAAGCATTTACTTCAGAAAACTTGTAATTGCAAACTCTTTCTCTGCCCCTTTGAGATGTAACTCTTTTTAAAAGCCTCCTGCCAGTTTTACAACCCAGATCTATCTTTCTCAAGGATGTGGGAGCGGTCCATCCCTTTGAAATGTAACCACCAAGGGAGATAGCGCCCCATCTCCCTTCTCCCCGGAGGGTCAAGCCTGACTTTGATGGGCTCCAGTGAGCACACATGGCCTTGTTACACTGACAGCTCCTCTGACGTCCTCCAGTACTTTTCCAGCAGCTCACCCCAGCCTTGAACATCCTTCCTGGTGTTTCAGCGGTGGGTTCCGTCTTAGTTCTGGCCTCTCTCCCCTGTTATCAGAGCCTTGAACCGTCTTCCTGGCCTGGTCGCCTTTGTCTGCTGCTGCTGTTGCTATTGTTGTTGTTTTAGCTTATTTTATTCAGGTAGAGTTGATTTACAATGTCGTGTTAATTTCTGCTATATAGCAAAGTGATTGAGTTATACACACATACTCATCTTTATCCTGTTTTGTTTTAGTTGTTTTCAGTGGGAGGGTTGGTGTGAATAACATGGGAAACAGGCATCAGTCATGACCTTTTGGCTTTCTCTGCCTGCCCTGCCTCTAGTGCCTCAGACTCAGTGTCCCCAAGCTGAGGCGCTTGTCTTCCCGGAAAACCCCAGTCTCTCACAGCCGCAGCTGCACAAAGGCCACTAGAAAGTGCTGTGACCCCTGACATCCCACAGCTAAGCCCTGGTCCGGGAAGATCCCACGTGCCGCAGAGCAACTAAGCCCGTGCGCCACAACTCTGAGCCTGCGCTCTAGAGCTCGCGAGCCACAACTACTGAAGCCCGCCCACCTAGAGGCCATGCTCTGCAACAAGCCCGCGCACCACAATGAACAGTAGCCCCTGCTCTCTGCAACTAGAGAAAGCCCACGCGCAGCAACGAAGACCCAAGGCAGCCAAAAATAAATAAATAAATGTATAAATAGGCATATTATTTCTTTTCTTTATTTCTTCTTTTATACAGCAGGTTCTTATTAGTCATCAATTTTATACACATCAGTGTATACATGTCAATTCCAATCGCCTAATTCCACAGCCCCTCCCCCCCCCGCCGCTTTCCCCCCTTCGTGTCCATTCGCTTGTTCTCTACATCTGTGTCTCAATTTCTGCCCTGCAAACTGGTTCATCTGTACCATTTTTCTGGGTTCCACATGTATGCATTAATATACGATATTTCTTTTTCTCTTTCTGACTTAGTTCCCTCTGTATGATAGTCTCTAGATCCATCCACCTCTCTACAAATGACCCAATTTCATTCCTTTTAATGGCTGAGTAGTATTCCATTGTATATATGTACCACATTTTCTTTATCCATTCGTCTGTCAATGGGCATTTAGGTTGCTTCCATGACCTGGCTGTTGTAAATAGTCCTGCAGTGAACATTGGGATGCATGTGTCTTTTTTTTGGCATTACGCGGGCCTCTCACTGTTGTGGCCTCTCCCATTGCGGAGCACAGGCTCCGGACACGCAAGCTCAGCGGCCATGGCTCATGGGCCCAGCTGCTCCGCAGCATGTGGGATCTTCCCGGACCGGGGCATGAACCCGTGTCCCCTGCATCGGCAGGCAGAGTCTCAACCACTGTGTCACCAGGGAAGCTCGGGTGCATATATATTTATAATTGTTATATCTTCTTGGATTGATCCCTTGATCATTATGTAGTGTCCTTCCTTGTCTCTTGTAACATTCTTTATTTTAAAGTTTATTTTATCTGATATGAGTATTGTTACTCCAGCTTTCTTTTTTTTGTGTGTGTGTGTTACGCGGGCCTCCCACTGTTGTGGCCTCTCCCATTGCGGAGCACAAGCTCCGGACGCGCAGGCTCAGCGGCCATGGCTCACGGGCCCAGCCGCTCCGTGGCATGTGGGATCTTCCCGGACCGGGGCACAAACCCATGTCCCCTGCATCGGCAGGTGGACTCTCAACCACTGCGCCACCAGGGAATCCCCCAGCTTTCTTTTGATTTCCATTTGCATGGAATATCGTTTTCCATCCCCTCACTTTCAGTCTGTATGTGTCCCTAGGTCTGAAGTGGGTCTCTTGTAGACAGCATATATAGGGGTCTTGTTTTTGTATCCGTTCAGCAAGCCTGTGTCTTTTGGTTGGAGCATTTAATCCATTCACATTTAAGGTAATTATCTATATGTATGTTCCTATGACCATTTTCTTAATTGTTTTGGGTTTGTTTTTGTAGGTCCTTTTCTTCTCTTGTGTTTTCCACTTAGAGAAGTTCCTTTAGCATTTGTTGTAGAGCTGGTTTGGTGGTGCTGAATTCTCTTAGCTTTTGCTTGTCTGTAAAGCTTTTGATTCCTCCATTGAATCTGAATGAGATCCTTGCCTGGTAGAGTAATCTTGGTTGTAGGTTCTTCCCTTTCATCACTTTAAGTATATCATGCCACTCTGT